TTGTGGCAACCAAAAGTCACCCAAAAGCATTCAACTATGCATCATTTTGTTCTCACCAAAGGCTGATAACTAAGTTGTCAATTGGGCCCTTATCACAACTTGAAATAAAACCAAACTAAAGCTCATTAATTGATTAACCCGAAACATAATTTGGTCAGCGAATCTTACAAAGGATTGCACCATTATTTAAACAAACTAATTACTTAAAAGCAGCATCAAAGTGGTGCTTTAGTCTTCCTCCATTTGGGCCATGATGCAATTCACCAACATGGTCTTCTCTCTTTGAAACTTAGGCTTGTATTCAACTAATATAGACAACACTTGTTTGAGAGCTTCCTTTGTTTTTCTTGCTTTGACCCTTGTCATAGGTTCTCCAAGTACTTCAAGTGGATGATTTTTCCCTTGCTCATGGTCACGTCCCTATAATTCATTTGTCGGAGACATCCTACAATTAGGTCATGATGCAATTCACCATCTTGGTCTTTTCTTCTTGAAACTTGGGCTTTTTTTCAATTAATATGGACAACACTTGCTGAAGAGCTTCCTTTGCTTTCCTTATTCTCGCCTTTGTCATAAGTCCTCCAAGTTCTTCAAGTGGATCATTTCCCTTGCTCATGGTCACGTTCCCGTCATTCTCTCCCTTTTGAGAAGGGTCCTCAAATAAGATTCTCCATTTACCTTCAAAAAGAGATAAATCAGACATATTGAAGGTGGAACTAACATTATACTCATTGGGTAAATTAATTTTGTAAGCATTGTCATTGTTGAGATTGTTGATAAGGGAGCACTGATTTAGCTGAACCCACAATCTCAGTAATATCTGTGTTTTTAATGATGACAACACATAATTAATAACACATGAGTATTCTGTGTTACATGTTCTATGATTACATGTTATATGCTTTTGCTTATTGTGATAAATTTGTATAAGCATATTTGTGAACATGATTGTGTTGTTCATTGCATATCATTGTGTTTAATATGTAATTCTATATATGTATGCATGACATAAGGTGTTGGAAATGAAAAACCACAAGCACTTTGGTTGAACTTTAATGTGTGGCAAAACAAACAGTTTTAAGTTGATTACATTATAGAATGAATCGATTAAAACTCGAGTGTTTGCACAAACTCTTTTCAAGTGCGTTGTGAGTTATTCTGAAGAGAAATGTTTTCAAAATTGTACTAAGTGATTTTACTTAATCGACTACATGTTATCTGCATTCGACTAAGTTAGTTATTATTTTGAAAACTGATTGAATGCTTGACTCAACTGATTTAATGGTTATATTTTCAAACATATTGACCAAGCATATATTGTGAGTCGACTGCATTAAATGTGCATTCAATTAATAAGTTTGATTGATGTTAGTTTGTTATAACTGCAAGATGTATTCGACTACATTAGTTACTAAGTCATTTAAAATGCGTCTGATGTGTGCATAATTATAAATTGATGCTGATTTGAATTCTATAAGAACTTTTGTGCAATTAACACTTTCATATCTTTCATAAACTCTATGATTTCTTATAGAGAAAAGAGAAGCTCCAAGAACCAGAGATTGACCATGGTGATCAAGTCTTAGAGGTTTCTTGAGAAGCAAGATTTGCTGGGTTTGAACGTCTGATCTATCTGCACAGAAAGGTGTAATCTGCGTGATTAGAAATTTCTGCAATCGTGAAGATTGGTTGGTTTCCCTATCATGATTACAAGAAGAAGAACTGTGTTCTTGACTTTGAGGGTGGCTCAAAGGGTTTGACAGCAGAAGAGGGTGTTCTTGTTGCGTGTTTGTATTGTTTACTGCCTATATTATATTAGAAGGTTAAAGAGGTGTTTTACATTTTTGACGTGAGGTCGATGTAAAAACCTTGGTGTAAAAACCTTGATCTTTATAGTACATTTGCTTCTTGGTTGGAAGGACACTGGATGTAGGCTTGGCCGAACCAGTATAAAAATCAGCGTTTGAATTCTCTAATCCCTACACTCTTTTATTAAGTCGATTACGCTATTAGTATATTCGATTAAGTTTACTGCTGCATTGCATATCTTTTAACTTGCGATTCAAGAAAAGTGTAAAAGCATCTTATTTTGTGAAATAGTTTTTGAAAGATTATATTTTTTACACTTCATCAATACACCCCCCCCCCCCTCTTGGTGTGAGAAACTAAACCATTCTATTTTAACAGTCATTGATTCGTTTAAGCACTTGGAATAGACTATTCCTCCTTTGTTGAAGCTTTGATTTCCTTTGTAATGAAAACCTTTCCTTTCTCATGTGTACCAAACCTAATCTCTTATTGGAAGACAACCTTCTTTCTACCCTTTTCAGCTTGGCTTGTGATAATGTTAATTTTGACCATTATCTTAGTCACATTTTATGAACAAAATCAACTCTTCTCTACCTTGTAACCTTCTTAATCCTTACTTTTATCTTGCTTTTGTAAATAATTACATTTTAGGTTACAGTAAACCAATTATACCACTAATCCCATTTTTTATATCTAATTTTGTGACAGGAAGATCCTATTTCAAGTTAAAGAGTTTGGCAATCTAGAGAAGTAGGAAGAACAAAAAAAATGGGATTTCATGAAGTCCAAGTGGTGCTAAGTGTCACCTCTTTATCATTGAGCGGCCACATTACAAAAAGCAACATAGCAATCCACTGTTGAGTGCCACATCCATCGCTGAGTGTCAACATTATGAGTAAACATAGAATTCCCAAATATAACGTTAAGCAACAAAGTCACGACCCTAAGTGGCCTTTATGTTGATGTGTCAAGTTGCACCATATTTCTTCTTGTTGCTCGAAGGAAGCTGGGTTTTTGGTGGTTGAAGGCACGGAAACATATTTTAAGAGCACTTGGAGGTCTACTAGGGCTTGTGGGAGCAATCTTTTTTTCCTCTTCATATCTCATTCTTCTTCCATCTTCCATTTTGTAAGCTTGAGTTGTTCATGACAATGGAGAGCTAAACTCATCTTGTTGGGGATAGATGTAGCCATTAAACTCTCTTGTATTTTATAAATGTTTTGAATATATATATATATATATATATATATATATATATATATATATATATATGCCTCTTCCATTAAATGCTAGTATTTGTGTTTCTATTCTTAATGTTTGCTTTAATATAGCCATTGATAGCTTGATGATTGGTTCATTAGGTATTGGAAAGTATGATTTGAAACCTAGACTTTGCATATGATACCTAATGGAGCTTGACCCATTAGTTATCTTAAACCCTAGTTCATAAATCAGGTTTGTTTGTTAAGGGCTCAAGGGATTAACCCTTAACAAGAAAGCCTAGGCTCATTCTACTAAGGGAATAGGGTTTGAGTAGGTTTGTGGGTTGACATTAGTATTTTAATGGAGAGGATGTAAGTTCTATATGCATGAGAGTGAAGTTGGTGAAATCTAACCCCAACAATATCGATCTATACCATATCTACTCTTTTTCATTTCCTATGTGTCTTTAACTTCCAAAGCTCAACTCTATTATTTTTGCATCAATTTACGTTATTGCTTATAACCTTAAATTATGGAACTATTCTTTAGTCTAGATTAATTATTAATTGTATGACTATTTAGTGTTACACGAGTCGCTTGCGAAACGATACTTGATCTTATCATCTTTATTACTTGAACGATTTGGTACGTTTGCCAATGAGTTAACACCTTGCATAACTCTCATTTTTCTTTTCAATTTCAGCCTTCACTTGTTCATGTAGCTTCTTCATATACTTAACTTTAGCCTATGCTTTTTTATGCTTAAACATAGAAATGTTACGCATAAGGAGTAAATCAAGAGTAGTCAAAGAGTTAAATCTATATATACAATCTCAAAAGGTGAAAAATCAGTTGTGATATGGAAAACCCTATTATAAGCAAACTCAACATGAGGCAAACATGTTTCCCACAACTTAAGATTTTTCTTTAAGACAATTCAAAGTGATGTGCCTAAAGTCTTATTGACTACCTCAGTTTGACCATTAGTTTGTAAGTGACAAGTAGTAGAATATAATAATTTAGTACCAATCTTGCCCCCAAGGCTCTTGACTTCGACTGGAGTCGTCCTTTGACATAGATCGAGTTTGCTCGATCTTTAGTTTAAGTTGACTTGATTGAACCTTTTTATTTAGCTGACTCAGCTAAGCCTTCAGTTTAGGCCAACTCGACTCGACTTTAGACATCTTGGACCAAATCGTCTCACCCTTCAACATAGGTTGACTCGTCTCGAATTTCAACCCAAGTTGACTCGCTTCAAGCATCCTAGATTGACTTGTCTTGACCTTCGCCTGACCAACTTGTGTTTTAGGCCAACCTAGCAAGACTTTCGGTTTAGTTTAACTCGACTCGATTTTTGGTCTATAGTAAGCCGTCTTTACTTCGGCTTGAGTCGACTTGACTCGTCCTTTAACCTAGGTCGATTTGGTTCGATCTTCAGTTTAAGTTGACTCAAGTGAACCTTTTTCTTTAGCTGACTCGATTAAGCCTTCAGTTTAGGTCAACTCGACTTGACATTAGACATCTCGGATCAAATCGTCTCGATCTTCAGCAGAGGTCGACTCGTCTCAAATTTCAACCCAAGCTTATTCGCTTCAACCATCCTATATTGACTTATGTTGACCTTTGCCCGACTGACCTGTGACCTTGACCAACTTAGCAAGACTTTTAGTTTAGTCTAACTCGATTTGATTTTCGCTCTAGACTAACCCAACCTGACGTTGGCCCAAGTCAACTTGACTCGTCCTTTTACTTGGACTAACTTTGTTCGACCTTCAATTTAAGTTGCTTTAGTGAACCTTTTGCTTTATCTGACTCAACTAAGCCTTTAATTTTAAAATAAATAATAATCACTTAGAGACTTGAATCTTCATTATAAAATTATATCAATAATTTTATGGGAAAAGTATTTATTACATATATACCAACATTTATGATAGTATTCATATGGAGTTTCAAAATAAATTGAGAAAAAAAATAATGACTTAATATTAGAAAATACTATACCAATTACTATAATTTTATTTAAATATATATAAGCATTGTATCACACTAGAAAGTTAAGAAAAACAGGATCTAATGAGATGGTGGCCTCAATGGCCTAGCTTTCCTCATCCAAATCAAGCAATACTTCCCCAGTATTATGTGCATAACCATACTTTTCCACCCTCTTCATGATCTCATCAAGCATTCTATTTATTTCTTGCATTTCTGGATGAGAATTATCCCCCGCAAAAAACTCACGAAAAACGCCATCTATCTCAACCAAACTACACCCTGGAACTTTTTTGATACCCCTAACCTCCATAAGCTCTCTTAAATGCCGCGCTTCCTTCCTCCGTTCAAGCTTGACATACACGTTAGAAAGAAGCACATAGGCACTACTATTTGTGGGGTCCAACTCAAGAAGCTTCGTTATCGATACCTCACAAGTTTTAATGTCCCCATGCATGCTAGCCCCACTGAGCATAGCTCCCCATATCATCTCATCCGGTTTCATAGGCATTGATTTCACTACATTCCAAGCATCTTCAAAACGACCAGCTTTGCTGTATAAATCCACCATGCAACCATAATGTTGAATCGTAGAACTAACACAATACTGATTCAACATCCTCTTGAAATATTTCTCTCCTTCATTAACCAATCCTCCATGCACACAAGCACAAAGAACACCCACAAACGTCACAGCATTTGGCCTCACTCCATCATTTACCATCCTTGCAAACAGTTCAAGGCATTCCTCCGAGAGTCCGTTCATGGCAAAAGCAGCAATCATGGCACTCCAAGCCATTACATCCTTTTCACGACCCATTTGATCAAATATGCATTTCGCCCTTCCAATGCTTCCACATTTGGCATACATGTCTATCAAAGACGTCCCGATCACACCACCGATTTTCATCCCACTTACGTAAACGTAAGCATGAAGCCAATTCCCATGCTGAAAGGCACCTAACCTCGCACAAGCTGAGAGCACTGATGACAAGGTGAACTCATTGGGTCTGAGTTTACTTCCTTCCAACGTGTGGAGCCTACGAAACAGAGAAAGCGCCGTCTTGTACTCGCCACAGGTTACGTAACCGTGAATCATGCAGCTCCACGAAATGACGTTCCTCTCAGGCATCTGATCGAACATTTTCCGCGCAATGTGAATCATTCCGGCTTTCGCACTGGCGTTGATTATGGCGTTCCACGAGGGTAGGTCGGGTTGCGTAATTTCGTCGAACACTTGGCGGGCGAAGGTAAGGGTGGCACAGGAAGAATACACATTGATAAGGGAGGTTTGAACAAAAGGGTTGTCAGCAAGGCCAAGAAGGAAGATTTGAGCGTGAAGTTGGCGTCCTTGAGTAGGGTTGTTGATGGATTGGAGAAGGAATGGAAAGGTGTGAAGATCAGGGAGCACGGCATGCAGGCGCATGCGAAGGTAGAGTGAGAGTGGTGGAGGAAAGGCTGAATTTGCAACTCTGCTTCTGAAGCTGGCTCGAATGAGGTTGTTCCACACGAATGATTGAATGTTGGGGTGGGAGAGGTGAAGACTCGGGTGTGTATATGATATCGCCTTCCTCCAACCATGCATTATTCGTTACCTATTCAAACCATAATACTCCTGCGGTTTAAAGGACCACCATAGGAGTCATGGGATAGAAAACCGATATACTACCCGTAATACATGCATTTTCCTTAAAGGAATAAAAATGATCCTAATAAAAATGATTTTTTGTATTTCTAAAAATAATAATAATAAAAACTAGTATCAAATGAAAGTAAAACCTTTATTACTTTCAAAATACTATTGTTTTTTCGTTAAACTAATTTATTACTCTTTATCTTAATATAATAATTATTAATAAAAAAATCAGTATTAATAAATGTTTTTTTATGTACACATCTTATTATAAATTTTGTCTTTGTTAATATAAATTATTTTATTTTCTAGAGTTTATAAATATTTTTGTGAATATAATTTTTATAAATTTAATAACATCCTTTTGGTTTGCTTTGTGAAAATTATTTAGTTTTACATTGAAATTAGATTCTAAAAATTTATGATTTTTAAGTGAGTTATGTATCATAAAAAATCATTTTTCCAACCGAAGTCGTGAACCATATAGAATTTTTGATCGGGTAACCAAAGTCTATAATGCAATATGCAGTTGAATTTGTAGTTACAACTGTTGAAAATGAGTCTAAGTCCCACATTGGGTAGAAATGAGAAAGTGGAGCAAAAGTGAATACTTATTGCCTTAAGGAGTTTGATAGAAAGTGGTATCAATTCCTTATGTAGTTGGGCTCAAGTCTCATTGATGTATCTCTCTAGTGAACATTCTTCTCTATAAACCCAACAACAACTTCAATGATTAGTCACAAATAGTATGCCGGAAACAAAACAACTAATAACTTTGTTGAAAAAGTTAGCATTGAGATGTACGACTAATATATAAATCGTAATACTTTTAATATCTTTCAAGTACGATAATAAACTATCCATATAGGAAAACAATATTATAGGAAAATACTAAAAATATTCATTCTATTATATTGACACATGTCATAAACAATGATTTTTTATCATTTATATTTATACACAATTTACAATTTTACTCTTGTCTTGTGATTTGACACAACAACACTTCACTTCGTTTAAAATATTGGAATGTTGAGCAGTTCCCTTCCGTCTTCCATTATTTTATTCTCAGCTCATCTAATCTTTGTGAGCTTGACAAGCACCACCACAGCAAACATGTCAACGTTAATCCTCTCTATGCACAACCCAACATGATTTCAAAAATTGGAACGTGCTCGCAACACAACACTTCACTTTATTTAAGGTGAGTACTTTTTGCCTTCCTCAACTGCATCAACCTGACATCATAAGGAAGCTCGTCCTAGAAAATTCAAAAACCAAATATTACATTTTGGATGACAGGAAAAAAATCAAAATTAATTGGACTGGATGGCCAAGATGGATCGAGCTTGTTGAGATGGACAAGCTAACGGGATACTCGAGATGAACCAAGTTGACATGATGACCATAATGGATGGGCTAACGCAATAGCCAGGATGTATGTGCTAGTTAGGCTAATGCGATGACCAGGATGAACAAGATGGATAGGTTGCCGTGATGACCAATATGGATAAGTTGGTTGGGCTTGCCGAGATGGATTGGATGTCTGAGATGCACCATTCTGACGAGATGACCGAAATAGGCGGGCTAGTGGAATGGATGTGTTTGACAATATGGTCGGGATGGATCGAACTAGCAAAGATGAATGACCATTAGATTGACAGGATGAGCATGCTAATAGAATGAGCATGTTGGTCATGCTAGCATGATGACCAGATTGGACAAGATCGACAAACTAACATAATAATCGAGATGGACTGATCGAGTGAACAAGATGAGAAAAGGTTGACATGATACACAAAACTGACAACTAATAGACTAACTAGATTGACAAATGATTGATGGAATGCCTGAATTGATCATACCTACAAAATTACCACAATAGCCAATTGGACATATTTACAAATATTAAACTTATTTATACAAATATATTATATTTTAAATTTATTATTATTCAAAAAATAAAATTAAAAAAAAGACCCGTTCGTACACAAGCGTCAAGAGACTTGATTTGATAAAAAAAAACCATGTAAAATAATAACCAATATATTTTATTTTAATAATAATTACAAACAAATAACTTTTATCTTTTTTATTTTAGGTAAAAGTGGACCAAATAAGTATAATCGAATATGTTTCCACTCATTTATAATTCAGCAATTTCCTACCACGACATCTTCAATAAACTAGTTTATTACAACCCAATTTCAGCCACGTTTATACGGACCCAATTTCAGCAACGTTTTTACGGACCTTCAATTTCTTTTTCTAAACTACAAAGAGAAGTAAAACTTGATTATATGAAGATTAGCACTAAACGTACATCGATTACAAAAGCGATCCATCAAATGATTTCTCCTCCTTTTCAGTTTCTTCAGCCTTTTTGTATGGTATATATCATTCTGCATCGATACTACCAGCCATTTCTACTTTCTATGATGGCTCTGGATATATTTAGTGTTGTCCAGCAATTACACTCACATTCGAGGAAGTACAATGCTTAAGATGGACCAAACATATTGAATCCTTAATCTGAAAAACTAAAACATTTTAATGAAAACCTCTCAAATAATCACTATAAAACTTAATATGAAGGCATAATAAAGTCGATTCCAAATTAAACACAGGAATATTTAAACAAGTAACAAGTCAAACAACACATGATAAAATGAGACTCCACAATTACTAATCCTAATGGAAATGCCTCAAGACAGAATTGGATCTTCAGTCTTCCTCTTCACCCTCATTCTCAGCAATGTTGAAATATCTCAACTCATAGACATTCCTGTCCTTGTTGGATGCAATCACCCGAAGCCAATCCCTCACATTGTGCTTTTTCAAGTACTTCTTGGTCAAATATTTCAGATACCTGAGAAAAGTTTTGATGAAATGAAAAAAATATAAGCAAAGGAAATTACTAGCACCCAAAGAAATTGGGTTACAAAGGATCGAGTTTAATTCATGCGGGGGATTAAGGGAAAACAAATTACAGCAAACTAAGCAAATGGACGGGAAGATTGAATTTTTCCAATTTAAACATTAAAAAGCAAAACCACACTATCACATACTTAATCACAATAACATCCCAAGTCAAAACTGAGGCTTCACGCTTATTACCATTTTCTTCAAAAGACTCTCACAAGTCACAATATTGACGCTTACAGTGAGACATGATAGCAAGGCAATCCCTGTTGTGAACTGAAGGCAATATTTTCAAAATACAAACAGGATAGAGCGTACATACAACAGGTAAGCAATCTGACTATTCACAATATAAGCACTAAAAATAACACCTTTTGAATCGTACACGACTAAATAATACAGGCATACAAATAACTGAAGCACTTCACAACATTATTACCACATTCAGCATTAAACCCAATAACCAATCTTTCAGTACAAAAATTACTAACGGATATGCTAGAAAACTTGGTTGAAAAACCCAAAAACACATGAAGCTTTATGCTAAGTACTTTAGCACTTTTTCTTAATACGCTTATCTCAGTGTCAATAACAGGTTGCTAGATCTATTCTCTCTAAAATTTAAATATCTCAGCTAACTAAACAGTGACATAAACTAACCATGAATAACCACACGAAAAAAATACAGCCCCAAGATTTTGATAAATGCTATGGCGGGTTAAAAATCCACTCCCACGAAAGAAAACGCATACAAGAGCAGCATGATGAATAGGACATTAAAAAGAAAAAGAAGAATGAACCTTTTAGAGAAGTTGCTGTCAGAGGTAACGGTGATCTTGCTCTTCTCCCGTGTGACAGTAACGGAATCGCCGAGTGCACCGGCCTTGCCGCCGACCTTAATCCTCTCTTGAAGAAACTTCTCGAGAGAAGCAATGTCCATAATCTTGTCCTCAACAGGCTTCGCGCAATCGATCACGAAGCTAGCTCCCTTCTTCTTCCCCTTTGCTCCGCTCATTTTCGCTTCTCTCTCTCTCCCTCGGCCACACGCACACTCTCTCTCCCTCGTGACGGTGATAAGCAGCAGGGGCACAAACACAGAGAAACTAATATAAACTAGGGTTTATGTCCTGTAAAACGGCAGCAACACCTGCCGTTTCAACTGTTTATTATAAGCCCAGTCCAAAATATTTGGGCAGAAAAAATTATTGTGGGCCGAGACCCAAAAAAGCAGGCCCAGTTGTGTAAAACTTTCCCCTCCCTTGCTGTTCTATTCTACACGCCTACGTGGCGACGGAGGGAAAATGGAAGAAAACTTGGACGGCGTCGCTCCGTGCTCCTCCCTCGCCGTCGAGGCTATTATTCGTGTCGGAGCGGTAACATCGTTTATTCCTCCTTGCTTCAATCGAAAATTAATAGAACTAATGAAAGAAACTCTGAATTGTTCTTCAGGCCGGTGCAATCTGGGGCTTGTGCTCTGGTCCCTACGACGCTCGTCAACAGGGTAATTTTCTTTTATACGTGGGTACTACTAATGCGGCTTTTTTCCTACTATGGATCCTCCTTTGATTTTCAATTGCTAATTCGTGACCATCCATTTATGTGTGCAGGTCTAACAGGCATTGCTAAAGCTTCTTTTGTGGTAAATGATTTTTTTTTTTGTTGTTTATCAAATTTTCAAAAGCTGGTGGTAGGGTTTTTTGTGAGTTGATGACATATTTTGGGTTGCCAATATCAGGCAAACTCGGTTCGCAGTTTTGGGATTCGATGCGGTAATCTATCTATGCTCAAGATGTGTTTGGGCTGTGTAAGAATCCTATTGTGGCGTTAACGTTGCTTGATTTGGGGTTTTAGGGTTTGTAGCTGGCGTTTTCAGCATTACGCGATGCGGGGTTCAGAAATACAGGGGGCGGAATGATTGGGTTAGTTCACTCATTCTTTCTCTTGAGCCTTTTGCTTTAGTTACCAAATGATAAAGAAAATATTCAATCGCCATATGACGAAATATAGATTTTGTATTGGGCAATGCAAGTGGTGCCACAACACTACAGCGTAGCATTTTTCAACCATTGTAGACGTGTAATGAAGCTTAGATTGTGCTCTTTAATG